ACATTTGGGCGGCATTACGCAAATATTTCCACATTGTGACGTAGAGATGTGGGGGCGTGTTTGAATGAGGCTTTTTAGCCCGGTCTGGATCAGCCTTCTCTTTTAGATAGAATAAATCCTTTTGTGGGAGACTTTGAGCTTTGTAACACTGCAGATCTTATACATGCACAAATAGCTACATAACACACTAAAGAAAAGGAAAAATAGAAATCGCATCATATGATCCCTTTAATGGGCGTTTACAATTCATAACACATTAGTGTTTTTGCTGCAAAAACTTTACCGACATTGTACGTGCAAATTATTATTTGCATCTTCTTAGCAAATTATCAAGTAATAGATCAAATGTAATCAATTTAATTGTTGTTTCATATTTTAATATGTCAGTGTTCTTAAATGATCAAAAATAATAGATCAAAGAGATAATAGGCTAAGAGGGTAACAGTATACTAAACTAGTATGTTGAGCAGATAAATATTTAATTTCACACTCTATCTTTGTTTATCATTATAAGTAACATAAATTTTAAATCCAATTATAGTCTTACTAACTTTTGGACGACATATATCAAAAGTCATATTGTAATTAGGCACTGAATGGAGCACAAATTATATAATTATGAACATGAAACCTGCAGTAAAACTAATATAAGTTATATCATTTGATGGTGTCTGTAAACCTTTTATATTTGTCTTAAAGGTACGACTCTCAGACGATTCTCTTGATGTGTTAACATGCAGTGGAGATCTAATGAAGGATCGCATGATTGAGTCAAGTATGTCTGGAGTCAGCTAATAAGAATGTGAGGGCAGTAACTAGAAATGTCAAATGATCCGCAGCTCTACATTGCTTGTAAGGGTGTTTTCACACTTTATGAAAACTCATAAACCTTATTTATAAAAAAATAAACACCCAGCTCTCTTTAATTTACACTATTCCTGATTTTGAAATTGGAGTTAGATCTCTTTTTGGTCCACTTTAGTTTAGCGAATCGTGAGTGTGTGTGTGTGTGTGTGTGTGTGTGTGTGTGTTCAAAAAAACAAGTAAATATTTTTTTTCAGGATTCTTTGATGAATGGAAAATTTCAAAACCACAGCATTTATTTGAAACATACAGTATATTTTGTAAAAATGTACTGTTAATTTGTTGACCAATTTAATGCATCCCTGCTGAATAAAAAAAAAAAACCATAAACATGACCCCAAACATTTGAATGGTAGTTTACAGGATTTAACAGTAAGACTGTTTAAATTCATCATGACGTTCATGTTTGTGCGTACTGACTTGCGTGTGATCCGGTGTGTGACAAGCTTAGATCATAAGCATTTCTGTTTATCTGATATTACATAGACAGTCTTGGTGTCTTAATGTCTTTGAATGTGTTCTTATCAAATGCATAAAAGGTTTGCTCAAGGTGCGTAAGCGTGTGATACAGTCTGCATGGTGTAATAAAACCTCATAGTGCCAGTGAGACCGGTCAAGCCACATTCACTTGTTTGAACTTTAGCTAAATACCACTCTCTCACATGTCTTAAGGCATCTACATCATTTCTACTCGATGCAAAGCAACAACTTTACTTTTTTGATCTATAATATACATTTCAGTTGCACCCTCATAAATACAAACAAATTGTTAGTATTTTTTGCATTCATACTAAATTCACCATGCTTTTAGACCTATCTTCTATACCATAAACTGTTTTTTGTTTTTTGTTTTTTTGGTTGCACTTTCGCTCCGTGAAACCTAATGTGCTGTATGAGGGCGTTCCTTTAGCTATTATTATTATAGAGTTTAGGCCTCGAGGGCTTTTAGTAAATGAACTCACTTTTCACACAACAGTCCAACAGTAGATATAAGGGTACATTTATACAGCAATGACATACGTCTTGTGAATGGATGACCAAAACGCACAAAAAGTTTTCCTTTTTTAGTTAAAAACGGTGTCATGTAAACACACCATAAAGCATCACGAGAAAACCTTGAACATTCCACCACATCTCACATAATGTGTTGTGTTTAATAGCATCCTGTGATGGAAATGACATTTTAGACATCAGTGAAATAAAATAGTTGACTCCTTTGTCTTGCCAAGGCAAATTTCATAGCTGGCAGTTAATGTCTCCACACACAATTCAATTATATTTTCATACTGGCTGTATTATTTTGCATAATACATTTGCATAAATTTCAGCTTAATGGATGATAAAAAATATTATGTTCACATATTAGATTTATCTTTGTTTTCTTCACTCTTCTTTTCTCAAATCTCAAGCATGAATTTCACTGACAATTTTGTCCCCTTGGTAAACAAGTACACTAACTTGTGCATGTTCTTGTGTGACCCAAGAATGTATATTTTGTCTGTTTCCTCTCTGACCATTAGATCATCATCGCTGTGAGCCAGCTTATCGCTGATGTGGCGCTTACCGGCAGCTCACGTTTCCAGGAGTCACTGTCCATCATCAACAACTTTGCCAACAGTGATAAAGCTATGAAGGTGCAGTAGAGAATGCAAGCTGGAATCTGCACTCATTTATATATTATTTTCATTAAGGGGCTGTTTATGGGTGGTAAATATCCCCAAAACTCTTTGAAATCCATTACAAAACAAAGCATATTTTTCATAATTTATTTATACATGTAGTTGTTTTTGTAAAGAAATATGTAGCTTTGGAGCTGCTGCTATGACACTGTAGAAACGTTTCCAGTGTGAATACTCTCGCAAGTCTGCATTGACGATGTAGTTACGCTGACGTGAAGCTAACATGAAGCTCAAGCTTGCGGTGTGAAACACGCATAAGAATCAAGCATTTCAGAGAGCTGTGTAATAAATGGCCGATGTCATGTTCTAAATACAGAAAATAATTTTTTTTCAATGTAATTTCAAAAAACCACAACCCCACACTACTGTCCCACCACTTTTTGAAACAAAGCCATTCACACACAAAGAACACATTGTTGAGCTCCAAAAACACCAAAATGCAGTGGAAGAAAAAAGACTGAGTGGTCTTTAAAAGTTCAGCATTGTTAAAGAATTAGTTCACTTCCAGAATAAACATTTACTGATAAGTTACTCACTCCCAAGTCATTCAAGCAGTCATTCAATTTACAGCAGAGCCCAGGATCTGTCCATATACATAAGATACAAAAAAAATTATAATAATAATAGACTAAATAATAGACTTAATAACAATAAAGGTTGTGTGACAGAAAAGTAAAACTATGATCAAAACAATAGTAGTGAGTACATCTCAGGATTTCAAGACATCTGATAAAGTATGTATATCTTTTTTCAGTTGAAAAGAAATTAAGGTTTTTGAGGAAAACATTTTTCTCCATATAGTGGACTTCAATAGCAGCCAATGGGTCGAAGGTCCAAATTACAGTTTCAATGCAGCCTCAAAGGGCTCTTCACAATCCCAGCTGAGGAATATGGGTCTTACCTAGCAAAACGGTCGGTCATTTATATATTAAAATGTATATACTTTTTAACCATAAATGCTTATCTTGCACTAGCTCGACCTCGCGCATTATGTAGTTACATTGTAAAGGTCACGTGTGACGTAGGCGGAAGTACAAAAACGGTGTTTACAAAGCGAATGTGCAAAGAAAGTCAAACGCCCTTTACAAAAACAGGTAAAACAATAATGTGGGGCTATTTTGAAGTTGGAGGAGAAAATCAGATGGAGTTTTCCCTCCCCTACCTTTTTGAACCAAAGTACACCGATGAAGAACTAACCAGGTGTAACTTTTCCAACGTGATTACGAAATGCGTGAAGTCGTGCGTGCGCATCACAGAGCTAGTGCAAGACGAGCATTTGTGGTTAAAAAGTATATACATTTTTGTTTTTTTTCTTTTTAGAAAATGATCGATTGTTTCATTTGATAAGACCCTTATTTCTCAGCTGGGATCGTGTAGAGCCCTTTGAAGCCCATTTGGACCTTCAACCCATTGGCCCCCATTGAAGTCCACTATATGGAGAAAAATCCTGGAATGTTTTCCTCAGTAACCTTAAAGGGGTGGTTGACTGTTTTTTTCTAGGCTTGATTGTGTTTATGGGGTGCAGTCTAACATGTGTTAATGCTTCGTTAAAAAAAAACTCATTATTTTTCACATAATTTACCTTTATTCTACACCGCTCTGTCCCTTCTAATATGAACGCTCTGGTGATTTCCTGGTTTGATGAAGCCCCTCCCTCAGAAATATGCAATACGAGGAACAGGATTAAGAACCGCTGCTTTTGAACATTGATTTTGAAACTTGAATCCATTATAATTGTTAGAAGATAGAATCTCGATTCATATATGAATAAATTTTTTCTGTGCACCCCTAGTTTTGACGGCATGGAAACAACTCTTCCTCTTCTCTAAAGCAGCGCAACATGGCCCCGCCCCCTTTGTTGCATGTTCCCGGGGCGGGGTTTATGTAAATTTCAGGGTTTGTGACGTCACAAACCCGGGAAGTAACTCGTTGTAGTCCCTACCAGCCGTATTTGTAGGCATTAATCTGCCCGAATTTTAAAAGACGATATCTCCGTTTGCATTGAACTTTCAGTCTATATCGTAACTTTGCAGATATTGTTTATGCTCAAACAGCAACATTACACACTAACTAACGTTAAAAAAGTGAAATCGCAATCAACCACCCCTTTAATTTATTTTCAACTGAAGAAGACATGAACATCTTGGATGACACGGGGGTGAGTAAATTATTAGGAAACTTTGGAAGTGAACTAATCATTTAAAAGATTATAATACAGTCTTCATGAATTTACATGCAAGTCATTCTTGTGAGATGTAGAAAACGCTGCAAGACATGGTGTCAAAAAAAATTTGCATAGAGCAGGAATTTAAAAATAGCACAGAGGAATGTGACTGTGCCAAAATGCCTTGCACAGTATTTTTGCTTCTCTTGGCAAATATTTGTTAACATTTGGAATCTATATATCTCCCCAGACCACCACGTTTCCATCTGAAGTGAAGGGTCTGATGATGAGAATTCGTACGGTTTTGATGGCCACTGCTCAGATGCGTGAGCACGAAAAAGACCCAGAAATGCTGCTCGACCTTCAGTACAGTCTCGCCCGCTCGTACGCCAGCACTCCAGAGCTCCGGCGGACCTGGCTGGACAGCATGGCACGAGCACACAGCAAGAATGGAGACTTCTCTGAGGTGTGTTATTTTGAGCATGTGATGCAGTGCTGTTTTGTTGGTACAGGTGCATTGGAAAGGCTCCATGTCAACTTATTTTGGCCTCAACCCATTCTGCATGGATGAAATTAGATGCTTGCTCAGTCATAATGCCTGTAGGCCATTTTTAAGCCCCACCTCACCCTGAAGCTGTAAGTATACACTGAATGTCATTCTGCACACGGGCTGCAGATCATATCATGTGCATTACGGTGGAAATTTCAGAGGATACACAATCTTAGTTTTTCAGCTGTTTATCATAATATGTAATACATTGTTTCATTCAGTTTTCAATTTTATTACCAATAAATTTGCATCGGTTAATATAAAAACCAAATGATAGGTTTTTTTTTTAAACCATCAGCTTCCATTCTTGATGTAAGCATCTTTTCTGGTACAGTCTAATTGATCTATTGATACATTTAAAAAATACATTTCATTTTACTTTTATAGAAGGCATTGAAAAGTTTTTCTAACTCTCATTCAACTAACTTTAAGTCTATAGACAGAATATTACAAGGGCACAATATATGTTGTCAGACTTTAATACATTATTAGGCTTTATGCACTTCATCTTCTGATGCATTTGCTAATATTTTTTTTTTATTTATTTTTTTTGAAACTGAAGTATTTTCACCTTTCCCTATTTTTGTTTTGAACCGCCTGTTTGGAGATTTCAGCTGCATCACATAAATCGGTTATATTTTATGGCCGTAATTAATGGTGAGCAACCCTCTGGAAACCACCTCCTGGTAGTAACGTTTAGGTTATCATTTAAACACGCTTTGTAATTGCACCTGTCACGGCCTTTGCCTGACTGAATACGGGTCAAACATTAATCATTTAACAACAGTTCACAAGAGACGTTCAGTGCTGTTTAACTTTTTCTGTTTACATGATTTTTGAATTATTTAATAATTGGGCTGGTAACACTTTACTTGAAAGGGTGTGCATAAGACTGACATGACACCTTCATAATCATGACATGACACATGTCATGAATATGAAGGAGGTTTTTGGGCTTAATCTGTTCCGTACTCTTCTGATATGTTTAGGTTAGCAGCAGTGTTTGATTCATGATCATGTAAACATATCCCCCACAGAATAAAAACAGGAACTGAATTGGCGTAAAGGTCACTTCCTTGCCAGCATTCTCTAATATTTCTATTTTAGTCGCATACAGGCAGTGGTGGAAAGAGTACTGAAAAAATATACTCAAGTAAAAGTACCATTACTGTTACAATTTTAACATAAATGCACATTGTTCTAGAAGGATGGAATCTTGCCATACCTTTTACACATTTACTTCGAATTGTTATGCTGATAATACAATTTGTAAGGAAAAATGCATTAAAAAGCTAAATATTTCTGGGGAAACTTTTATAAAGGAAAACACACACACGCGCATGTCTCTTTGCTGAGCCGCGGCGGTCTCGGTGAATCAGCAGCATCCAC